AGCCGGTGAGATTTGAACAGCCGAACTGCAGAACTGCAGTCAGCTGAAGTAGCCTGCAGTGCTGCATTTAACCACTGCGCCACCTCGGCTCACTCTATATATAATCAACAGAGTGCACCGAGGATCCCATACTTCAACCCTGAGCTACATATATTCTTTTCTATCGGCATCACGATTATCTCTGGAGGTTTTCTAAAGCGCTTAAATATGCCAAATACCACTGAGTTTTTCCAAAGGGCCAATTAATTGCATGGCTTTCCAAACACTCCCGGAACACTTTTATTCCCCCCGCCCTCATCTGCCCAGAGCCAGCCTGATTGGCCATCCCCAGCATCCATCAGGGAGGGGTTTTCTCTATGTTCTTGGAGCCGGTTGTCATAAAACAGCTGCTGAAAAATGCAAAAGAATGCTGGAAGGGTTTTTTTACTCCCTAAATTATTCTGATGAGTAACTCAAGAATGCAAAGACGTGAAAGCCACCAGCTCTTGTTCCTGGCATGGCTCTTGTTCCCAGCTGAAAAATCTCCCCCAATTCTTCACCCTTCAAGCTGTCTTCAGCCCAGCCAGCTCATTCTTTGCTCTCCTTGTTCCTCAGGTACCGAGTGGAGTATCAAACACTGTGCAAAATAGAAGCGGACCAGAATGAATTCATCGACCAGTTTATCTTCCAGAAGTAGACCAAGAACTGATGGCAACCAGCAGACCAAGAGAACTTGACCCATTCCTGTTGTTCCAAAGCAGGCAATTCGGACCGGCTGTGAAAGCATCGACTGAGGACACACCTTCCAAGATCTCCTCTCCAATCCGAAGAGTTTTCATTGTCCCCAAGCAACCTGCCCTGGGGTTGGAGATAACGAAAATAACACGATTGGCAGGTTCCCTGGGAAGATGTTTGTGATTGGATGTGCTTCCAAAGGATGAGAAGGAAGGAGCAATTCTTGTATTTAAGTCTTCTCTTTTTTTTTTAGCAGCTGTTTATAATGAGAGTTTACATCACTAAACAGTATTTCTCACAGGGTTTGTGCATCTTCCCCACTTTTTAAGAAAATAAAATGCTTTCGAGGAACAATTAAGTATCTTTTGAAATAGCAAGAGCACTTAGACTTATATACCACTTCACCCTAGCCCCCTCTAAGCGGTTTACAGAGCCAGCNTGTACCCTATGACTATCATTAAGTGTTGTACCTTATGATTCTTGACAAATATATCTGCACCAAAGACAAATTCCTTGTGTGTCCAATCACACTTGGCCAATAAAGCTATTCTATTTTATTCTATTCTACTTTTTCTAATCTGGGAAAAAAACGTGTTGTTTTTTTTTAACTCGTGACCTTGTTTAGCTACTCAAAATTGAGTTACCCTGGATTGATTGGGGCTTCTTCCTGGTTTAAGAAAATACCAGTTAGGACTCCAGCCTTATATTCTTGACTTGTTGTCCAAAACTCTAGTTGACAGGTTTAAACGACTGATTGAATTAAACCCTTTTTTGGATTAACTCAACACGGTCAGGAAACAAAATTCGGTTTACACAACATGTTAAGCTACAAAAATTACAAACCAGTTTAATCGTGTTGTGCAGTTACAGCTGCTACTGGTAGGTTTTCAGTGGATCAGGTCATTTGTGTTGTGTGAATTCAGCTGTGGTTTCAGATAAGCATGTTTTCCTCTCATTGTGGTGTGGCTTGAGATAGGGCTCTATTGATGGGACTGGCACCCATGCTTACAGGGCACCTGTATATGTTAAGAGCCCCGTTTCTTGGCTTTACATTAGTTGGTTCGCTATTTTGAGTTTGAGTTTATTGACATTTGTATGCCACCCACTCCCTTGGGACTCTTTTGGCTGCTGTAGTCATTTTTTGGATGCTTCCGTTGCTCTGCTTTAACTGTTTCCTAGTCTTAGAACTACAACTCCCGGCTGCTACTAGGAAAAGGGGGGCAAATTATTTTCCAAAGCACTAGAGGGCAGAACAAGAAAGAATTGGTGGAAACTAAGCAAGGAGAGAAGCAACCTGGAATTAAGGAGAAACTTCTTGACAGTGAGGACAATTAATCAGTGGAAGAGCTGGGCTCCAGAAGTTGTAGGTGTTTCATCACTGGAGGTTTTTTAAAGAAGAGACTGAACAGCCAATTGTCTAAAATGGTATAGTGTCTCCTGCTTGAATGAATAGATGGATGGCTAGAGATAGATAGATAGATAGATAGATAGATAGATAGATAGATAGATAGATAGATAGATAGAT